GCAGAGGAACTATTTTAGCCTGCTTCCATGCCTGTGGGTAGGAACAGCAGCTAAAACTAAGGTTAATAATATGTGTTAGAGCAGGGGCAATAAAGTCAGCAGCTAGTTTCAGAAGCCTGCCGTCAAGACCATCTACACCCGGTGGTTTGTTTTTGCAGGTTTTTAAAAGATATTTTACTTGATCTATATTTACACTTTGTAATTTAAACCTTAGGTTTTTATTTTTCATCAATTCATTTCTTATTGATAGATACGATATATCATTACTTAGATTAGGCATATTTTCTCTTAGTTTATCTAATTTTTTAAATAAAATAAACATTAAGATGGTTTACAATATCTATTGGCTTAGTTATGAGTTTATCTCCTGTTTCCATAAAAGATAGATTTATTTTGTTTTTCTTACCAGTCAATTGATTTAAAACATTCCATAACTTCCTATTATCATGACCTATGTTTTTATCAAAATACATTTTCTTCTTCTTATTATTAAGTTTAGTAACAGAATTTCTCATTTTACGATATAGGTCCCAATCACTTTTATTTCCTGTCATAACTGCTGTTCTTTTCATTTGACATCTTATTTTCATAGAGTTTTTCAGTTCTTCATCCAACCAAGGTGTGACGTTGTTTCTGACCGTAAACTTCCTCAAAGATGCATGTTTATCAATCAATGGCAAGAATAGCTTGTTAAATTTAAATAGAGCAGTTTCTGGATTACTAGCAGCCAACACATCAGACCAGCATAAAGCTTGAACATCTTCAATAAACTTGTCATTTTTAAACAACTTATAGGATCTTTTAAATAAGACTGTAGTTCCTGATCCACTCAGTTTAGTTGTTAATGCAGAAATGATCAAATTATGATCACTGCTACCTAAGGTTAACTGGCAGAAGCCTGACTATTTTAATATGTTTGACAAAAGGTCAACCTTAAATTTAGATTCATTCCGTATTCATTTTTTGGGATATGGTAAGAGAAGAGTTCCAGGGTTAAAGCTGAAGTCTGTAAGTTTTTAAAAATAACTTTTTTGTCATATTGGCTAAAACTGTCCCTATGCCCAGACAGCAGTACATGTGATATGTAACCTGTGAAAAAAACTGCTTCAATTGGTCCCGCATACTGCCTGTATTTCAATCTGGAAAGAATAATTCGGAACGAGTCAAAACAACCAATCACAGCCAGAGGAGCGTCTGATGGAGTGTCAATCACAGCTCCCCCCCCCTCACCGCTTAACCTGCCGAAGCGCCCGGCTGCCGCAGTCAGGAGGACGCGCGTGCAAGTCATGGCGGAGCGACAGCCACCAGCGAAAGAGAAACTGCCCTTACTGCCCCTGCCGACAACTGCTTACACGGCAAACTTCGGTATAACCAGCATCTTATATCTAGCTGCTTGGAGGTGAGTGTTATCGCTCTTACCTGTTCACACTCCGGTCGCATGCGGTAGCCGCCCAGATGCTGTGAGAGGGGTGGAGCTTGGAGGTGGGGCATGAGTGAAGCAGAGAGGGTGGGGGAGTGGCGTGAAACCTGTTTTTCTTAAAATTTTCAGTCGAAGTATGCTCTCTTCTCAATGTTACAGACTGCAGCTTTAAGCCAAAAAAAGACAGCATCGCAGCCCCGCGAGAGTTTTGTGGTAATGTGGAAGCTCATTGGTAGAATTCCCTTATGACAGAAAGAAGGCCTCAATTCACTCCATTGTCATCCGGAGGGGGGAAACATTTATTTACAAAACCGAATTCATACAGCTGTCTTAAACACTTCATACATTCAGCGCTATGTCCTCACATCTGTAATTTTCCCCCACCTTCAATCCATTGTGGGCGGCCTTTTATAGGCTCCACATCGCACTGTGTGGATGCACGTGCACGACTGGACGCTCTTCCTGGAAATCTCTTAGCTCATGACCTGATTGCGTGCGAGTGGGCCTTAAAGACCCTGTTTTTGCCAAGATTTGTACGTGACTTCCAGCCTGTAAACACCCTGTTTACATGTTGCATTCTCTGTGTTGCTAAGTGGGCATAAGGTCAGAAACAGGACTACATAACACAGTACAACTGCTTCCATATTTGGCAAGCCAGCCAGATATTTATATTCTACAGCATTAGAGACTTTATTATTGCTAAGACTCATGTGAAGATCACAGTGGCAAGGATGTATTGGCTGTTATGTCTGCACAAGTTCCACAAGTTGGTGATTAATAAACGTTACTTTGAAAAACCACCATCATATGACTCTACAGTTGAATTTATTATAAAACTGACAGAATTTTATAAAAAGGTGGTGGCAGTACATGGTGGCAGTGTTTGTAATAATCTGGTAATTCAGCTGATGGAACAAGGTATTCTGCTCTAAGGGAGAATTTCTGCTCACTATTTTCTTACCTGAAGTTCAGGTGAATGTGGGTTATGCAGCAGAACAATGATCCAAACAAATCCTCCTTTGAAAAACTCAAAAATAACAAAGTAATGAAGGTTTTTCGGTGACCTAGATTGAAATTCTGTGCCATGATCTTAAACGTGATTAAATACTTCTATAAAAAAGAAGCTGTTTATTGTAAACATCTATTTTACATTAATCTAACCTTGGTTTGGCTGTTGTTGACCTGTAATACACGAAATGATGTAATCGAAACGCTTTGTTGAATTTATCAGGTTGATTTCTCTAGAAAGAGTTAAAAAAAAATTCAATGCACTGCATCTATTGTCAGACTGATAGAGATTATTACCACTGATCCAATCTCCTTAGAGAAACAAGGGTAAATGTGTTCAGATTAGCAAACAAAATGCAGGAGCAGTGAGGATGAGAATCATGTGGCTTGTCGTCATCTTCAGCGTTCACATTGTTTACGCTGGGTGGCAGAAGAACAGCAGGATGTGTCCTCAGGGCCGTGCTGTAAGACTGAGTCAGATTTCTGCCCTGGAATCGGAGCATTCAAAAGTAGAAAGATCTTCTTACAACTTTTGTTGAGTCCCTAACTGTTGAACATCAAAGGTCACGGCTTAGAGGGCAGTGAAGAAAGACACCTGATAAAGTTACTCTGCTAGAGACAGAAGCATCAGATAGTCAATCTGCTGCAGCTTTAATATCAGATGTTCACACTGAAATATCTCAGCAGTCAGCTTTCTATTCAGGCTACACAATAAACCCAGAGATATTTTCCTCTTTAAATATATAAATATATATATTCATATATTTTATTTTGCAATGGAAATGTTGGAGAAAAACAGCCAGAGATGTAAGAACGAAAAAGATTTTTTTGTTTCAAATGCCTGAAAATGAATGTGACTGAAGTGTTTCCTCCTGCTGAGCTGTTTGTGAGGGAGGGACATCAGGGGGAGGGAGAGACAGGGGAGGGAGGGACAGAGGCTATGGCAGGCCGATTTGACATTTATTAGAAACGCTGTCCATTTGTAGATCTCTAAAGATCAACAAATGGAAGATTCTTCCTAATCAAAAGTACATTCCTGCTAGTTAGAACTGAACATATATATATATATATATATATATATATATATATATATATATATATATATATATATATATATATATATATATATATATATATATATATATATATATATATATATATATATATAAATATGTAAAACAGCATTCTTCCTATCTAAAATAAACATTCTTCTTTTCTAAAACTGAATTCTGAAGAGGATGAATTCTAAATTCAGATCTCAATAACAGAGTTACTGCTAGTCAAAATTACTATTTCAGATATCAAAAATGAATATAACATTACAGATATCCATAAATCCAAGTGTTGACATCAAAATATATTTCGGCTTGTAGAAATATAATAACAGATATCAAATATTGACTATTGACTATATTATCCAAAATGCAGTTTTAGATACTCAAAACATATTTACATACTTATAATCAAAAGAATAATAGACTCTGTTTTAACAAAAAATAGACCGACTGACTAGTTTATTTTCTGTTATAGATAGCACTAAAGCGATCTACCTAGTATTAATTACAATACTCCTATTCAGAATTGTATTTTAGATATCAGAAATTACATTTCTAATAGTAGAAATTACGTTTTAATTACTCTGGAATCATATTTGTACTAGTAAGAACTACATTTCAGATATCTACAAACCTTTACTTATTTCAAGTGGCTGTTTTATCATATATTTGCTTGACCATATGTGTATTTCAGATATCTTTAATAGTATTCCTTCTTTCTAAAATGAACATTTTAGACAACTTTTCCCTATTCATGTGTATTGGGCTGTTACTTTCAGATGTCCAAAATGACATTACTCCTATCTAAACTAAACATTCTGGATGAATTTCACATCTCCGTAATCCAACTGTTACTGGTCTTATTTTTCTATGTATATAATAGAAATGTGACTAGTCAACCTACCTAATTTACGTTGAAACTGAACCTCATTATTTTTTGGAAATATCTAAAACTGCATTTTGGATCTGCATTATTTAAACTGAGATATCTGAAATCCCAATTTAACTACCCATAAAATAAATAGCTCATATCTGTAATTATATTTCTACTAGCAGAAATGTATTTTTACCATAAAAATTTTGATTTGTGGATATCTGGCATGTTATATTAATTTTTCATATCTGATATTGTTATTTTGAGTAGATCTCAGTAATTAATTTTCAGATCTCTTGTAGAATTCATCTTCGTCAGAATTCAGTTTTAGATAGGAAGGATGTTATTTTAGATATCTGGAGATAAAAGCCCAACACATGAATAAGAGATGTGACGTCATTTGTACAAGTAAAAGTTCAGTTCAGATATGTGAAATTTTTATTTTAGATAGGAAGAATGTTATTTTAGATATGTACAATTTTAATTTTGACTAGGAAGAAATGCATTTTATAATCTGAAATATAGAATCAGTCAAGCTAATAAATGCATAAACGGCCTGCCATACAGGGACAGGGGGAGGAACATAGAAAGGGTGAGGAAGGAATATAAACAGGGGGAGGGAGAGGCAGGGGAGAGACCTAGAAAAGGGGGAGGGAGGCAGTGGGAGTAGATGAGGGGCAGTGGGAGAGTCGTGGACAGACTTGTTTTCTCCTCCTGCAGCAGGAGCAGTTCCTCCTGCAGCTCTGCTGGGACCTGGACCTCCTTTCCCCTCTGGTAGGTTGCTTTCCTCTGCTTTTGCTCCTTCATGTTTCTCCAGCTGAAGAAAGAAACTGTTGTTTACCTCCAGTTTCAGCGGAGCAGCCTAGGAATGTGTTTTCTGTTTGTGAGGTAATCAGAGGGGCCCCTGCTCTGTGGCCCCTGGTTGTTTGGCTCCAGTTCAGGGAAAGTGAAACAGTCTGTCTGTGTGAAGAAAGCCGCCGTGTTTTAAAAGCGCCTCAGCTCACATTACGGCCTTAAAATCCGCCTTTAGGGAGAAAGCGATGAGTTATTATGATGTGGAAACTATAGGAAGCCCTGATCCGCACCTGGACCTGATACATTCACCTCTGAGGGTCGGTCTGTCAGAATAGCCTCGATCACAAAGAGATACAATTTAACTTTGAATCAGTTTTTCTTTAGAATAACTGCCCTTCTCTGTTTAAATCCTTCTTTTAATGTTAGATGATCATTTACACAGATTAGCTGACAGATTTATGAAACAATCTTTGACATTTAGATGTCTAAAGTTGTGCAGTTAATATTTAATAATGGTGAAGGCTGTTAATTAATGACTGTATGAGATGAATCCAGGCAGCAGCAGGATGCCTCCATCTGTCCATCTGTGTGTCCCCTGGGAGCAGGGCCCCCATCTCACACCCAAGCTGACTGTTATATTTATCAGGCAGGGAAAAGCTCTGACCTTATTTAAGTATAACTACTTAGATTGTCCATTTTTATTTTTGTTGCATGTGTATTTTGTTACTTTTTTAAAAGTTTTTTTTTTTTCTGAAAGTAAAAGGGATTGCGAGGGTAAAGCAAAGAATCACAGGCATGGATTCAAACCTCAGACTGAGGCCTCAGAAAACGGGTGGCGTGGACAGCAACCCAACACTCAGTTCAATTCAGTTTATTTCTAAAGCCCTAATTCTCCACACATGTGATCTCAAACACTTTAAGAGATAATTTAACCAGATCATCCAGTCAGATTGGTTCAATCTGCTCATTTTCCTTAGAAAAAGCCTCTTCAGCAGTTCTGATTATAAATTAGTGGATAAACTTTGTGCATAGTGTTGATTTGGGGGTGAGGGGCATCAGGACCCTGGGCTCCACAGCTGACACCAGGCTCCTCCAGCTGGAGGGGAGGAAGGATGGGCAGCTTCAGTGTCTGCATGAATCCTACATTAACACCTGATCCCTTGGAGCAAAGTCATATTAGCGTTATTCTGTCTGTCCAGATCAGGAGAGGCCAGTTCACTGTAAAACATGTTCATGGGTTTGCATGTTTAAGATCCTCTCTGCATGAATGCTAATCGACACAGTTAGACAGAGATTGGCAGCATTGGGAGAATCTAAAGTTTACAACAGGATGCAAAAATAAAACTTGACTTTAAACCTGCAGTAACAGTGATAACCTGTTTGGACTTCTGGCAACAGAGATTTCAAATATCATTTTTACAGAACGCTAACTAATGTAGTGAGAATTAGGGCTGCAACTAACCATTATTTTGCAAATTGATTAATCTGTCGATTATTATTTTTGATAAATATTTGGATAGTTTAAGGTTCGTTAAAGAAGACTCGTTACGTAATTAAACCAGGTTAAACGAAACTTTTTCCCTTGAGGATTTCTGGATAGAGCAGGTTGACTGACAAAAACATTTTTTTTCTGTTTTAGAGTCTCTATACTCTAGTTAACGATTCGTTGATTACTAAATTAGTTGATGATTATTTCAATAATCGATTAATCTGATTAATTGTTTCAGCCCCAGTGAGAATTACTGCTGAATATAAATTAAAGTGTATTTTGCCTGATCTATGATGTTTTCTATATTAAATTAGGCAAAGTAACTTTAATGAATGTATATATTTGGATAAACAGGTTATTATAAATGAAAATTCAATATGGATGCTTCCTCAGAGCCGGATAAGGAGGTTGTGACGGCTGCCAGTCAGGTTCCTGTTCTTTTACTGAAAAGTGCAGCTGATAGAAGCTTTTTCTTTCATTTCAAAGGTTGATTTCCTAAACAAATGCTGGATATGCAGATTCAATACTTACCTGTACAGCTCTTTAATGCCAGAAAAATACTGTAAATCTAAATATTATTTCAAACTATTTTGTTTAGCATAAAATGCAGAGATAAGATATAAGATGCAGGTCCAGCAGATTCCAGAACAATTTCTTCATCACTGCTATTAGACTGCAGAATGTTATGTAAAATGAGTTATATAAAAAATAATAATAATGTTAGAACTGTAACTATACAGTCACATGTTTACTTAACTGTTTTTCATCCCAATGTTTTTATCACTGCTGCTTACCTTATTAAGGCTGCACTTTAAAAACTGAAATAGTCTAGAGAGCTGTACTTAAAGAAATCTCTGTTTACACTTATGTGTATAAGATGACAAAATAAAATCAGTCTAAGTCTAAAACTCTAATTAATCTTCTGCTTCTTTGCACTTCAGGCTCTTTGGCTCTAATACACAGTTTGTTTTTTAATATATAGTTTTCTAAACTGACTTCAGGTTTGTGAGAAATTCGCATTTCATTGAAACTGATGCAGACTTAAAAGCTATGATAGTATTTTGTGTTTGAAACTGGAGACGGTTATTAAAACGGCACCAAAAAAACATTTATGTCCTAATAAAAATAAAGCTCAGTAATTTTGAGCTTGAAAATAATTTCTCCATCAGGAGTGATCAACTGACATTAAAGGTGTTCACCATCGCCATCTTCTGGCAGAACTTCCACATCCATCCAAATGACTGCTTCTTTGTTTGATCCACACTTTTTTTTTTTACTTTTCCACGTTAGATCTTGAAATGTTCCTTTCTACATCGTTGAGAGACAAATTACTTCCTGTTTCCTCATTGTGCACAACATCAGACATCCCTGGATTTTGTACTGTAAATACTGAAACTGCCTACACTTAATTTACCAATGGACCAAAAGAAAGTATAAAACACAGAAATAATAAAATAATAAAACAAAGAAATAATATATAATCTGTTTATAAGCAGGATTGCATCATATAAATTTAATACTCTGAACTTCCATATCAATATGTTCTTTTGCACCATGTTTTTTCTCCCATATTGTTTACCTTTGATCACTGCTGCACTTTAAGAAATAGAAATGTCATTAGAGCTGTACTAAACAAACTTTAGTTTCGTATCCATTCTGTGTATACGAAAGTCCTAATAAATCCCAGGATGTTTCAATTTAATGGGATAGCCTCTTTACAGTGAGCTTATGGTGTAGAAATCCCTAATTCAAAGTGTTCACTGGGCCCCTAAAAGAATTACAGTTATTAATTACAAACATTACTTTATTAATTAAAGATTCCCATGGAATCTTATTTCTGATTTTCTTATTATAGATTAAGACATTATTTTAATGTGACAGGATTTAGATTTTGTAGAATGGAGAAAAAAAAAGTCTCTTTTTTTTATAAGTTTACATAAAAAATGCACAAACTGTAATCTTAGGTTTTATCATACTAAAAATTCAAACTATACCACACCAAGCAGTGTGAGGGATTGCTGAAGAGTCAATGAGTCGATGCAATCAGCTGGTTTTCCTTAGATAGAAAACTTTTAATCAATCTGACTGGATAATCTGGTGAACTGGAAAGTGCCTTGAGATGACATGTGTTGTGAATTGGCGCTATAGAAATAAACTGGATTAACTGAATTATACCGTTACCAGGAAGCATACTGGACCACTCCAACATAATCTGAGTTTTTATCAGCCACATTAGCCTCCCTGCAAAGGAGAGGCTAATGATCAGGAGTTGACAGGCACACAGTTTGTTTCATTGCTTTCTATCTGATTAAGCCGTCAGCTGATTAACGTGTTCCTGCATTAAGTTTTACTGCAGCAGAACGCAGAGCTGTTTGCTTTTAAACACATCTCCAGTGTTGTAGTGTTAGCTTAGCATGTAGCCCTGCTTTGCAACTTGTTTTTTTCTTGTCTATCTTGCCTCAAAGAGAAAGTTCCCTTTACACTGCACAAACCTGAAATCTAAATAAATATGTTTTTCTTAAATGAAATGCATTTGCTCTTGGATTAAGGAGGTAGGTGAGACATTTTGCCAATGGAACAAGACCATTTAAATTAAGAAAACACAGCTGCATTGTGTCATTTCAAGCGCATATTATCTAATGATCTTATTCTAAGAGTATAAATACTCATTCCATTGGCAGATCATCTTATTTACTGCTCAGATTAAGGCTAAATACACTTAATTTAAGTAGATTTACGTATTTCTAGATTGTTTTTCCAGTGTCACTAAGGCCTTTGTCTTAGTCTTGAAGATAACAAGGTTTGCTTGTTGTTCTGGCTTCAGTAGTCATGTTTGCCAACTTCAGGACTTCCAGCATTATTATGTCTGAGCTGAATGCACAGCGATCATCTCCCCTTTCAAGCCCTCTATCCACCTCATAGAGTGAATTTGATCCCAAAGTTTTTACGCTCTGACCTTCAGAATGGTAGCAGAGTCGGCCCATGACCCAAACTATTAGTTAGGTATAAAACACTTCTACAAAATAATTTAAAGAAACATTATCTATTAAACTTTTACTGAAAAATGTTTGTAAAATAGCCTTATCATTTTACCCTTTATGACTAAACCATTGTTTGATCAGACTGATGCCTCAGTAGTTCATTGCTGATGCATCTATAAGCCTGTTGTCTATTTTCCTGAATTAACTCGGGTCTGAAGTTGCTGTTGTGTGGATGTGACATCAAACACGTCCCTATTGAAGGGGTCCAATCTCACAAACAATCGATGAGTTATATTGAAGATGGATTTTATGGAGTCTCAGAAGAAACTGGCATTTAGCTCAACTCGGACACCAATGGCAACTCCACATAAGATGGAAAAAAAAAACAGGCAAGTATGTGCGTGAGCTAAGAGAGCAGAGGAGTGCTGCAGTTCTCTGTTTTGGCCACAGGTGGCAGCATCATTAGAAAGCTCTGTAATGCCTCTTTAATGTAATGCTGTAACAAACAG